TAGCGCTTTTTCAACAACAATGGAAAAAGAAAATGCCTACGAGAATACAAATGCTTTTTTTCTTAGAAACTCCCAGTACTTGCGATAAGGATATATAACATATATAGCCATCAATTCATATTCTCCTTCACGTATTCTGCACTTTGCCAGCCACAAATGCTCGATCCTTTTTCGAGAACAAATGAATATCTGAGCGCAGCTGGGGATCAGATCGTGAGATTACTGTGAATGCAGAAGCGGAAGAATAGATCCATGTTTCATTTATTGTCACATACAGATGCAAAAACTCATTTAACTTGAACATCTCCAAACAATGCTCAGAGTTATCAACTCGCCGTTGTTTTTGGTCAAAAGTGAGCTCGCGCAACACCCACTTTGCCCTGAACTTACTCATAAACAAATATTCATGAATAATATGACGTTAAGTTGATATCTCTAGAGTATCTGCCATCTGCAACAACTTCACTTTACAATCATGCAAAATTATTTTCTGGACTTTTTTGATGTTTTCGTCGGTATGTTGGGCGTCCACTGCGTCCACCATCTTCGGTGCTCATTTCACCAAATCTAAACTTAGAATACCAATTGTTCATGGTTGTATTTCCTGGAACAGTGCCGTGAATCAGGCCGGGAACTTTTCTATGCACCTGTTATATTAATAATATCTCCAACGTTTTCTTCTATGTGTTAAAAACTTCGTGGCAAACTGCAAATTACCCAGTTCAGAGCAGAGAAAAATCACATTAAAAACGTTCAATTTTGACTGGTCTGTAGTATAGTTGAGTTCAGTGAAGAAATTTCTTTTCGTTCACATTAAACCCAAAATAAACATATTCTATTTGCACACATCAGCGCTTTATCGAAGTTTCTTTCTTAGATTCGATTACGATTTTGTAAATAATCAATATTTGTATGATCTAGCTACATTCTATGTCTTCTTCCGAAGCAAATAAGTTAGTGTTAAGGATATTATTTAACCGCTGGCTTGAAGTAGATCAAAGTGAGTCTGATGTACAATGGTCTTCAGTTATTTTGAACTAACCGTTCCGGCGCATTTTATAACGCCTAAAAAAGAAATGGTGATAGTAAGCAAGTTCACTACTTTTCTGCCAATTCCCACGACGGCCGGTTTTGCATTACTGCGGTTCGTAGAAACTCAAACAGGCAGCATGACTCCCATTCTGGTCAGTACACCGACACACAAGGCAATCGGCCGGTCGGTCCTTAACTATGCTGCACCAATGTGGTCACCTGGAAGCAGTGAAACACAGACGATAAAGCTCCAAACTTGTCAGAACACTGCATTTTGAACTATAACGAGATGACTCATGATGTCACCGATCGAACATCCACTCCCAGTTAAGGAGCATAATGAACTCCTCTCTCTCAATCAGTTTCTGCTGTGGTGCTTTCATAGAAATAATCCCAGTAGCCGCCTGCTTGAAGCGGAACCGCCTCTTTAGAACAACAAGAGTTCTTTCCTAAACTACGTCCCAGACATAAGACTATACGCCGACCATACTTCGGTTGCAACTAACTTCAGACGTGCACTGACGCATTGTGCAGCCATTTACAGTGCAGGCATAAATACCTTCAACGGCTACCACTCAGCGAATGATCAACTTGGAGTCAAACCACCACCCCTTGCAGACGGCGAGCTCAAGCTGCCGCGAGGAAACTTCTAGGGAACCCTACATATCTGACAGCCTCCCTATGGTCCGAGCCCGTCGAAATAGCACTTTTCTTGGGCTTACCGTTCAATGGCGTCGATAACAACTTTTCTGAACTTTATCACCTTAGCGGGGACTAGATAACCGGTACAACAGGAACAAAGGGTTTTCTACTTTAACGAAACGAATCTAGTATATTCTGTGTTTTTGGATATATTTATAGAATCAAGATTTTTTTTGTGTATGTATTCGATATTTTAATGCTTTCTCTGCGGGTTGTGGCGTAGGCGAATTCAACAAATCAAAAATACTCAAAATTTGGCGAGTCAATGTTTGAAGTTTGAATGTCTATGAATTCATAAGGAAATAAGTGTCTTTTATATCTAACACTTGCTTGATTTGACAATTTTCAATAAATATACTAACCTTTTTTGCCTGCCACTGAAGATACATGTTCATCAAGATTTTCTATTACTTTCAGCACAATCACATTTTGGTCTTGCCAAATCTGGTGAAATTCGCTGAAATTTGCGAGAGTCGTGATCAAATCAAATGGATTAAGGATAAAGCTTTAAAATTGCAAGAGACAATACCAATGGACGACACCATTTCACATCAGGTAAGCGCAGAGTGGCAAAAACAGACGTACACATATAYACATACAAACATATAGCACYTAGTTGCAGATATACATATATTGWTATATATATTATATATGCACTTGAAGTTTACTGATTACGGTTGTTTATATGTATGTATGTRTGTGTATGTCTTTATTTTGTCTCRTTCATTGAAATTGCYAAGATTTTTGCCCAAATTATTATTAAATTTTTTTCTTATTTTAGTGTTGCCACTTCAGTTTTTGTATCAGTTRCCGCTATGCCGAGTCAAACAAAAAGTGTTGTAGCTGCAATTTGTGCAATGTTTTTTGTTGTTGTACCTGTTTTTGTTGCGGCTACTTTGCCAGCCATGTTGCAACATGCAACTTACAACACGGTACTTAGCGCTTACAATGCAGCAAGACGTGTCCAATCGCATGTGCCACATATTACCGGCAACTGCTTACATGTAGCATGCCACCATGCTCACATATATACAGTTATATGTATGTATTTTTATGTCTGCTGATTTGTATGTGTGGCAGCCACACCGGCAATTGAACTTAAACGAATTTGTTAAGTTCATTCTCGCACTGCCCGCTGCAGCGTCGTTTACCCTGCACTTGCCACCTGCCACCTGCCAACTGCCAGCCAACTGCAGTTGCTTATCAGTGTTTTCCTAGAAGAAGCCGCTATAAATAGCTACACTTGTCGGTGCCACCTGCGCTGCCACTACTTTTACCCACTTACTTTCTTATTAGTTTGTGTGTACGTGCCGACGACGTCTGTCCACATACGTATATCGGACACGGCTAGGCAATCGCTGCGACTGTCTCTTAGTTCGTCTGTGCGTCTGTCTGTTCGCCTGTGCATCTACCTGTCCGTCTGTCCATCCACTTATACGTCTATTTGTCCATCTTGTTCGTGCGCTTGGGATTTCGTCGTCTGCTCGCCGCCATGTTTTCCGAAGTAATATCGCAGACACTTTGTGGCGCTTACATTTAACTTGGCTTACAAATGTACGTGAAYGCATTTAAATGCCTGTGTGTGYGTRTGTGTGTATGTGTGGCCTTCATGCTCTGCATTTAAGTCGCACATTCACACACTGCAGACACGAGTTTTATGCTTCGCCACTTCGTTCACACCTCCTCACCCGTGTGCATGTGCTTCGGCTTCTTTAACTCTTTTTCAGTTTCCGTTTTCATTCTCTATCTTGTAACTGCRTCGATATCTGGTTGCTATTTTATTTTGATCGCTTTTCTTTTACACTTTGCAGCACTTAATCTACTTACTGTGCAAAACGCAAGCCATGCTGATACCCACCATCGGTGAATTGCAACAATTGTGCCAGCTCATTGGCAATTATTTGAAGAGTTCGCACATCTTCATACGAAATGCAACGCTGGCCGGTCTGCTCTGCCTGCTCGAGTGCTGCTCGAAGACCAACACCACCATCGGCCGCTTGAGCGATGAGTTGGCTTTGCTGCGCGACCTGATTGTGGGCTACATCAATCGTCATGGGATTATCGATGTTAGGTGAGTACCAMGATTGCTTAAGTACATGTGTGCRCGTGTGTGCGTGTGTGTTTGTGAAGTTGGCGTTATCCGTAAATGTTTAAACAGTTCTTTTAGCTTTGCTTCACTCAACAAACGTACGAAAGAAATCAGATTAAGGCTAATGAAGTTAGCCCGAACTTAGAATACTAATAAAACTGTGTTGTTTGTAGTGTAGGTGTATGTGTGTGTTGGTTAGCAAGCTTAGTTGAACAATGGCTTTTACAATCGTTTGATTGACTCATTGACATGTTTTTGCGCAAATTTATTTTGCTTTTGTCAAAAAAGATTGATTGATAATTACATAATCGCTGGCAGTTAAAGTGGTTATGTTATTTTATTTAGCACTAGAGGCTGTAAATTTTCTGTAAATTGTTTTAATTGCTTTAAATTTATTTAAATTATAAAATTTAATATTTCAGCAATGAATTGCTGACGCGACGTCAAGTCCGATTCATATATTTTTAAAAATGTTTCTAAAGTCTCGTAAAAAGAAGTCCTAGTACCCTATAGTTGGGTTATTAAACTGTATATCGCACTTACGATCTGGTTACTTTACATATTTTTAAAAAGATAAGATTTTGTACTGAGAAACTACGCAGCTAGTTTCGTGATGTTTTGACTCAGTATGGTATCGGTGGGTGTTGAATTGAAAACCTTCAAGGCTAGAGTGTTCTCTCCCTGTATAAATCTTCCACAGAACCTTTCTCTCGAAAACATATCGCCGATTCTTCAGATGTTGTCATCGACTATGCCTTTTCTCCATATAGCAGTACGATTATGATGAGTGATTTGTATAGTTTGGTATTTCTTTGTCGAGAGTGGACTTTACTTCTCGATTGTCTACTCAGTCCGTTGTGGCACCTGTTGGCAAGAGTTCTTCTGTATTTCGGGGGTGACATTGTTGTTGGTATTAACGCTGGTTTCAAGATAGACGATCTTTAACCGCAAAGCTTTGATTGTCAACAGTGACATGGCAGCCAAATCACGAATTCGTCTTGCCCTCGTTCACTATCAGACTCGATGAAGTTCTGCAGCTCGAATTATTTTCTCCAGCAGCGAACGTCTCAGAGAGGTCCTTCCCGATCCTGACGGAGTTTTTCGTGTTGCTCAACGTCAGTTTACACAGCCGTATTAATTTTGCGAGTATACCAAATTTAGATATCGCGTCATTAAGGCAGCCCCTTTTTAAGATTTGGCGCATGGTAAGCATCAGTTTACCATATGTCGATAGAACATATGCTTAGTAGACTTACTCCACGGTACAGATAGTGGGTTCTCTATTTTTATGGATTGGATAGAGCACACGTAAATTCCAATCGTTTGACAAGCTTTCGTCTGATCATATTAAACAAAAAATCTGTTGCGTGCTCCTTATCAGCTCTTCGCCGCCGTATTCGAAAAACTCGGATCCGTTTTGTTGTTCTTCTGACGAACTTCTTCATGGTTGGGCAGTGGGTTGGGTAGTGTTATGCTTTCACTGCCATTCAGCGGGCTGGAGAAGTGTTCTCTTCATAATTTCAGTATGTTTAGGTCATCAGTCACTAGATCACATCTTAGGATTTTTCTGTCTGCAAATGTGTCTCGCTTTCCTCGATTATAATGTTGCGAGACGACACTCCTCATCGTACCGGCAGTTTCGTTGCCTTTTCCGAAAACCAATGGTTTAATTTGCAGCTGTATGTAAGAAGCTTGAAATGCCGTTCCATAGTTCAGAGTTCAGGAGAGCAAGGCGAACAGAAAACCGTTCGGCTGTCTGTTGTGATTCCAGCTGTTCGACGTCGAAACTTCCTTGCATTTGCTTACGACCGTTTTTTGGTGCAAAGAGCCGGGTGCTTAACTTGGTTGCAACATGATAGTGGTTTAAGACGATGTTAGGACCTCGGAGCGTTCGAACGTCTAAAACACTGAAGACCTTTTTAACCACTTAAATAAGGCTGAATGCAAAAAGAAGCTTGATATTTCAGTGCCACAAGAGCTACACCAAAGAACAAAAAAAAAAAAAAAAAAAAATCCATCTACCTCTCGCTCCTACATTACAACAAAATTGATCAATTTATGAAGCAGAAGTTACTGGTAGTAAAAAGTGGGTCACATACGTGGGCGAGGGGAAGCGAAAATCTTTGTAGTCAAATCACAGTAAGCCGGCGAAAATGGTGGTTAAGCCAGGACTGTCAAGAACGTTTTGTCCAAAAAAAATAAGGTGACATTGTATTTATTTTGAAAATTCTTTATTTATTCTTCCATATCAATTTCATCCTCTTCAAAGTAATCCTCTCCCGATGCAATGCACTTATGCCAACGGATTTTCCAATCTTCGAAACATTAGTTGTATTCCCTTTCCGGGATGCCCGGCAGTTCCGTCTTCGCTGCGGCTTGAATATCGTATAAAAACGGTGTCCCCGGAGCGGTCTTTCGAGCTTGGTGAACAGCCAGAAGTCGCACGGCGCCAGATCAGGTGAATACGGTGGTTGCGGAACGATATGGGTTGAGTTTTTGGTGAAGTGATCACGAATTACGAGGGCAGCATGGGATGGTGTAGAAACCAAGACTTGTCTTTCCACAATTCCAGCCTTTTTAGGTGGATAGCTTTACGCAAACGACGCATAACGGTGAAATAATATTCCTTGTTGACTGTTTGACCGGTTGGAAGGAATTCATAATGCACAACACCACGATAATCGAAGAAAACAGTCAACATGACATGGCACGGTTTTTTTTTTTGGTTTCGACTCTCTTTTATCACAATATTCGCTCGATTGATCGGTTGTTTCGGGGTCGTAAGCGTTTCATGACATCCTGGTAGTCGGAAAGCATCGTTTCACACATTTCAACACGACGCCTTTTTTCTAAAAAATTCAATGTTTTCGGYACCAGTCGAGATTTGACGCGCTTGAGGCCCAAAACATCCTTCAAAATGGTATTGGCTGARCCTTTCGATATGCCTCTAATTGYTAATCGACTCATTAAGAGACATCAGACCATAAACTATCAATAACGAGTTCGAATGGTCCTTAGTTCTGGTATGAAAGCTCTTAATGTTAAGAGATACATATAATCGCGTGTGATCGTACAAATCATTCAGCAAAATTTTGTACAATTTCTGCTAACGGGAAAAATTTAATTTTGGAAAAATAATTGTTTGCTTAGACTCCAATATACTTTAAGTACCCTTATCAACGTTAGAATTCTCTCTCTCTCTCTCTCTCTTGTATACTCTCTGCAACTTAATGGCAGTAGCAGCAAGTTATTAAACCAATATGGAAAGTTAGCTTCAAAGACCACTTCAATAAAACAATATATATCACATAAGCAATAACACATACGCCACACATACACCAACACACGCACGCACACACCACATGAATGCAGCCAAGCTTGGCTCGACCACTGCCGTCTGTCTACCTGCTCAATCAAGTATGYCAGCAATYATTATTGTTTTGTTGCGGTTAGTTATTGTTTTCTCAATCACAAAGTTTTATCGAACCCAGGAACCAATGACCATCCGACTTGTCTTGTCAGCGTCTGGCGWGCTTTTTTTGCCTGCCATGTCACTGCGGCGCCAACACAATACAGACGCGCTTACAAACACACACACATACGAAAGCTGCACCCAGCTGTGTTGTGGTTTATGCAACATCCACTAGAGACTCTTCGAGCGCCAGTAGACGATACAGTGCAGCAACGACAACTGCTCACCTCTACCTCGTGTCCGGTTCAACGGCTAACAAAGCGCATGTAGAACTTTGAAGATTTCACCCAGCCGCAGAGGTGTGGTGCGGGGCTGTAGCAGCTGAAAAGAGAAAYAATTCTATTAAAAAGCACTATAAATTTGAAAATTTTTTACCGTTTGTCTATGTGTGCGTGTATACAAGACAAACACTGCATGTGTGTATGTTGTTRACTGTTTGTGCATCACTTGAAAGCCGCTGCTCTGCGGTTTATTGCCAGTTTTCAAGGACTTTTGCTGCAACCGCAATATCGATGACGGCCACACGCTCAGAGTATTGAGTGCAATATTCTCCTTTTTTTCTAATTTCATATGTTTTATTTGTTTATTTTCCATTTGGAAGCTACACATTTTTAGTTATCTGAGTTTGGAAGTAAAAATTTGCAAATATCTATATCTATATGTGATGTGGTCAAATATATGTACAGTACAAGGTAGTTGCAAAACCAGTTCCAAATACTCCCATTTACCGCCAATCTTATTATTTTACGATTATCCATTTAAAACCTATTTCGTGAAAATGAACACGTGTCTGAACACTCGGAAATATTCACACACTTTGATTTCATACCGGATCACTTGGATCATGGAGCCGCCAAACTGAACACGGCAGCTATTTATCCGCCYATATACCGACGACGAGAGAGTTGTGGGTGCGAAAAAGCCGTTAGTGGAGAGCGGTAGTGAGCTCCTTTACGGGTGCGTCCAAAGCTTGKSAGAAGGTTTGTGACGGGATTTACTGTCGGCAGCTATCTACTAACGCCAGCTTTAGATTTCCTAACTATTGCAGCGTGTTACTGTTCCAAAATACAGCCTCCTTCAGAGAAGTGACCATCCACTMAGATAACACGGCGGCGTTACTAGCCTTGTATTCATTATCAGTGCGTTAAGCGTTGTTCAAAGAGTACCTAACCTCGCTTTCAAAAGTATCGATTGTCTTTGTGATACGACTGGAATGCGTGTCAGGCTAAAGCGGAATGTCAGCAAATTGCATATCTGATGAGCTGACAAGGAAAGGCACCCTAGAACTGCTTCAGTACAATGGGAGCGGGTCGGTGCTCCSGTATSCTCTTTTGTTCTGCTACTAGAAAGCTAAGCTTCGCGGAAACTTGGCCAGCACTGGGCCACATCTGTACATGCACTGTCGCAAGATCCTTCTGACTAAAGGTCCGTCGTAATTGATCTAGTGATCTCCTGGCCCTGGCCCCCAGTAAAGCTAATCTCTCCCTAGTTGTGGGGGTTTCAACGGATCATTGCCTGTATGAAAGAAGTSGGGGTGGAACATTCCAAACACTTAATTTTTGACTGTCCGCGGTTGGGAGRTCAAGGTTTAAACACTTGGGGGGGTCGCATACTTTCAGAAATACCACCGAAACTATAGTTATCTCAAACAGATTTTCACACTAAAGTATTTATGTTTTCATTTTGGAACGCTATTATTCTCGTGTAGAGGTTTTAAAGCCAAATAAAATTCCTGTGGTCGGATATCAGCTATCGAGAAAGCGCTTTGAATCAATCAGATGGACTTTGCTGCGGGCAAACAGCTCACTAGACCTTTTAAGATCTACACTGGCCCCAAAACACTAGAGAAAGACGTTGCCTAAAACTGGAGTTAAAGTATAGTTCCTGACAGTGCAATGCAACAACCGTTTCCGCAAGCCTGATTCTTCCTCTTCTCCTGCGAGTTCTTCTCTGATATACCTTCCTCGAAGGTACGACAGTCAGGCCTATGCTCCAGTCCTGGTAATCCAAGTATTTTTTAATGAAAACAAATTATGCGTGGTTTCCCAAATCTCCATGATCGCAGTCATCGTTTAGTTTGAAAGTACTRTTCTTGRAACCAAAAACTTTGAAATCAGTTAATTCCAAATATTTCTTAGAAATCTGTTTTTTAACAGTCATGACTTTGCTTCAAACGCCTGTTTTTGCATCACCCGTTATGCCGAATGACCAAATGCAGAGTTGCTTRTGTATTTTATATCTCCATTTGTATTTGATGTATTTCCTGTTATTTAGTCAGCGCCRTAGATTTATAGCACCGGCTGCTTATTTGTGCGCTTCGTGTGAACTTTCGTCTACTACACACCCACATACACACACGGTACATATATAGCAGTGCATTTGTGGACCTGTGACCGCCCACTTGTGACCAACTGTATGCCCAGCTTGCGCTACAGCTTGTTGTCGAAAAGTCATAATTATTGCAGGTGAAGTTTGCTTTTGTTTTTGTTTTTGTGTTTGCCTCTTGTTGTACACACATACTATATATCAAATTTGTGGAAAATATTGAGTATTTATTTGCCATGCTTTTGCTGCGCTGCTTCTCGTTTCTATTTCCAAGTGTGAGTGTCTGTGTGCTCTTTTCAACAGTATTCTTTTATATGTGTGTGTATGTGTGATATTAGTTTGGTAAATACAAATATATAGAATTTTTTTTTTTTGCAAATTATTGGTTTGCCATTTCCGCCAAAAAAACTCGAAACTCCCAAAAGCAAGCCAAAAAATGTAGCAGCGTCTGTGGAGATTAAGATTTGTGTTCAATAAATTGATTTGCATTGAAACAGAGTTATTGTTGTTATTATAGTTGTTTGCGTAAAATATTTCTATGAAAATAAATTTGTTAATATTTTTCCATTAGATTTCATAGAGTTATGCACATACTCTCGCTGCTGGTGTGCTTGGTGAGAGTTAGTGTTATGTGAGAGTGAAAATTTTGGAAATATAAATATTTCAGCAATTCAGTTTTCCCATCAATCAGTGGTGCGGTTAGAAAATTTTTCGATTTAAATTCAACTAAAAATTTGTCGATCGTTAAAATTAGATGGTTATCGTAAAAGCGTGAATAAGTTCGTCTTAGGTTTGTGGTAATATCCTGCGAGTACTATTTCTTGTTCAATAGACCTGCAATCAAACCAATTAAATGGTCTACCCCGGATGAGAAACCACCCTTTTAATGACCACTGCTAACGTATTAAGGGCTAACGGGAGTCTGGACAAACGAAAATGATCAATCAGGCTGACCCAGATGTTGCTTTAGCAAGTAGTGGTGTGTTTCGATGACACCAGGCCTTTTTGAAGGGCCGGGAAGAGATCGCTGATGAATTAGCAAATGCAAAGTCAAAACGATGCTCATTGCCTTTTTTGACATCAAAGCATTGTTCACCATAAATTTGTTCTTTCTGGACAAACTGTCAACGCCAAGTCCTCATGAGACTCAAACGAAGAGYCAATCGGGTCCGACCAGTCATCGCAGCCGATTGGAAGTTGCACCACGACRATGCCCAGGCTCACACCGTCTTTCTTGTAAACAGCTACTTACCAATTCCTTCATTCCAACGCTGCCGTAGCAGCCCTACAGCCCAGATGTGACCCCCGGGACTTTTTTTTTTGTTTCCTTGCCTGAAAAGACCGATGAAAAGCAAGCATTTTGAGACAAGAGGAGGWAATCAAGCAGCATGTATCCCGGCTCTCAAGGCTATTCCGGAGCGGTATGAGATATACGAGTATGCTGACATTGACGTAGTTCAGCGAATTAAGAGACAGTGGCTGTACTGACTGCTCCTGTGCTCTAAGACTATTTGACGCAATACCCGCCTGGGAAAACAAAGGAAAACCTTCACTCCGTTGGAAAGACCAGATGGAGGAGGACCTGGCTTCGCTTGAAAATAGAAAAGATCGATCGATGTAACTTTATGTTACATCACTATTTTAATGGTGTTTAAGCGCAATTCGAAGTTGCGTCGATTCGWGACTGGCGCCGGAGCATACCAGAGATCAACAGCCCTTGGTCGTGTATAATCCGGGTCAATTCCGGGAATGCAGAATCGGCTGTCATCGGAATTGACTCTTTCGCAACTTCGTTCTTTAAACTGCTACTTATCCATAATTGAGCCCGACATACCAAATAAACGCCAAGCATGCAATGAATCTCCGCAGGACTCTAACCATCCCTTTGCAGGAGCAACACATCCCACTCAGCTAATATGGGATGACCTCGTCGAAACAGCCTGCTCCCTAGACCTACTACTAAGTGACCATGATGGTCAATCAATTTCCACGGACCACGATCTCGATAACCGCTTCAACAAAAACAATAACGAAGACGAAAAAGCAATAGAAAATTTGATATACCGAATTGAAAAGTTTTAACTATCGCTTTCTGAGATTCACAAGCAGCGACCTACATTGATGAGCTGGAGAAGAAAGGCATAACGTTTACRGGGCCCTACTATACCGAATTACAATGTCGAGTTGTAGAAAAACGGCCCTATTTGATAAAGAGAAAGGTGCTCTACCACCAAAACAACGCTAGTATGGCCCGTTACATTTCCGCCAAGAGCCGCAGCCAAAGTGRTGGACCGGATTTGATCGCTGTGACATTTTTGGTTTTCAAACWTGAAGAAGTCACTTTTCGTTGATGAAAACTTTCCGTCGAATGAAGTATTTACCTTTGCGGATTTTAGATGTTCCGAATAACCGCTTTTTAGATGGATTAAAGAGGCATCGCGAAATAGCTATGTTGGCAACCAAAATCATTTCTATCAAATGATTGACCATTTGGAGTAAAACATCACACATATCATTTGCCAGTTACCTGTCGAAATGCCCAAACGTGTCGTCGGAAATGGGACTCAATGGATGGACCATCTGAAACATAGCGCCGACGAATATTTGAAAGATATATTCTTTAAAATATAAATGCCAGAGAATGTTCTTTCGAATGATAATAAACATKCCCTAATAAAAMTGARGYTTCWGTCTTTTTTCTTTCAAAAAGTAGAAAACCTCGAAATGAGAACTCGTATTTTCGCTTTTTCGACAAATTCTTTGTACATATTTTGATACATTCAGGTTTTGAACCACTTTATATCAACCCACAAATTATTTAGAAATATATATAATTATAATATCACATAACTGTTTTCCTTATTTGCTCCTCTCTTTCTCGAACAGCGCTATGCAGTGCAGCGACACACATACAAAACTGGTTTGGACTCTCAATTATTGTCTCATCGAATGGACATCGAAATTCGTGCCACAATGTCACCTGCTGTCCAATACAGTAATTGCAGCTGGTAATTTCCTGAGGAAGACCAATAATGAGGATGTTTACTTGTGTGTTCTGCATGTAAGTATCACTGTACCACATTGATCTGTGTGTATGTATGTAAGGCGAAATAGTTTGTAGTGATTAGAAGAGAACGAATGGAATTGCAKGCCATGAAGAAATGTACACACGAAAAATATTTATTTTTRTATTTKATAWRTGTATACATACATATRTAGTATATGATGGCGTGATTGATATGGACGCCATTTGTCATGAAAGCAAAAAGTTATAAATATCTTCAAAGTTTAGTGTAATAACCGCACAAACCCCTCGAAATCTCCTTTATRTACCCATGTAACGACTAGAATTAAGAAGAAAATGATGCAAAAGCTGCTAAAACTTAAGTGGAGTCCTGCCTGCTCCAGGCTGTAACCTCACTTGTACTTTTTTGGATAACAATCCAAAGTCGCTATAACAACAAAAGAACCAGATTGGTCCAATTAAAGTGGATATTTGACTGGCACAAAGCGTTAAGTGAAKATCATGAAGTCATTGAAAAGTTGCCTCCTACGTGTCGTCCATCCACCTCGGTTAGTGACAATAACATTGAAAATCGTCGCGTTGGGGTCAAAGAGATATCAATGGATCAGAAAATCTCTTATGAATCGACTGAAAACATTTCRGTTAAAGTTTTRGGTATGAAKCGTATCAAWGCYASACTCTAAGCAAAAGACCAGGTGATGCTTGACAACTTAGATATTAAACGCTRGCTTCATAAAATATATCATTACTGGTGACGAAACATAGGTTTATGAGTATAACATCGAATCTGCCCAACAATCTAGCGAATGGCGCTGCAAAAATTAGCTGAAACCCAAAGTTAAAATTCGCTTAAGTTACTGAAGATCATCCTCGCTGAGGCTTTTGAAAATTGGTTTAGGTGCTGGCATGTTTTTTTTTATGGCTAAAAAGCTCCCTAGTTTGAAGACGAGCATGGATATGTATAAACAACTTAAGATAAARTAATGTAGTCCGGCTCAAATCTGATCAGCTGGTAAAATTGATTTTTTAGCACTTTTCAAAACGTAGGGTGGCTAAAGGTACCATTTATGAAAGCCTTGTTTGAATCTAAATCCGTTGCTTAAAAACAAAAAAAAAATCAGTGGCCATAGACTATACTTCTTGATTTCATTCACCAAATAAAACTCCGAAAAATTGTAAGTTTTTTAAGTTTTAAGTCTGAATGATTGTTGACGTCTATGGTAGAGTTTTTCTGATCAGCTACAATCAGAGTTACGTCACTACCTGTTTGAGGTCATTAGTTATTAGAGAAAATAATTATAGTTTTTGRGTTCCTTCGAAATCTGGGTTCGAATTCAGTTCATGTGAAGTGTTAATGAAAATCTTGGGCCACTTAACTACATCACCTTTCGTCAACTATCGCCATTTTAAAATATGAATCATCATTATCATTAAGATATTTATTTCTTTGCATACTGTTAGGGTTACTTTATATTTTCTCAGCTGTTTCGCCGTTGCCGTAAGCATTATGTACCTGAAGTGTATGCTGGTAAATGAAAAAGTTAGCCTGCATAGTATGTAATCTTCGATCTCTACTTTGCCATTATTTTGTGTATAGGTTTGTAGCTATTCGATAGATTTCCAAAACAAAAAAAGAAGTGCCTAAAGGTAGGCAACGAGAAATTGGCTATTCGCCACAGAAACATTATATTTCCACTTCACTGTTGAAAACGGTGCCTTTATTTCTATAGAATATACTAAATTAACAGCCGTTCTATACTCTATATTCGTATGTTTGCCCTTAGTTAATTCATTTTCCCAGYAGGGAAGCTAATGCATTTCATTATATGCGATTAAGCGATTCAATTTGCTTATATTTCAGCGTTCATGTATAAATGTATATGTATGAGGATTGAATTCTATGCATTTACATATGTATATACGTATGTGTGTTAGTGTATTATATGCACATTATCTATTTATGTCGTTTGCTAATAGTCAGGGATTACAAATCGTAGATATCATACCAATTACAGAGGACATCAGTAAGACACCAGTTGCCGGGATCGAAATGCTCAACTGCCATTYCAAACTCATTTATAGAAATATACACACACACATACACATACACACRCATACACRTGCACATACGCAYCCACACTTRCMTTAATGGATATATATATAYATATCTATCAGATACTCCTGACTTTTACTGGAACACTCTCAACTTGTCTCTGCTTCGGCAATCGCTGGCTTCATTGTGCATATGTGATTGCTTGGGAGCTTGTATGTGTGTGAGCAGCTGTGCGCTTGTGTGGCTTTGCGGGAGGAAATCCAATTTCGACCACAAACTTTTAAACTCCAGCTATGCTTTATAATTACCACAAGCGAAATAGCAAGGATCTGTTTCTAATAAATGAAGGCAAGCAATAACGGTATTATATAGCAAAAGCAATTGCAATTTAAGAATTTCCATTTCTAGCCGAAACAAAAATTAAATGGCTGACAAATAAAAAAATTGTTGTTGTTGTTGTTGTTGTGTGCATATCAATTTATGAAATTACATTTCTGTTCAATTTCCCTTGAAATAATCCAATAAAAGTGGCCAAAGCAATGGCAATAGGCGTAAAATGAATGACTTCAATAAAATTGGAATATTATTTGGGTAAAGAATAATTTCGCTTGTCAGATAAAATTCAGTAAATAATATATGTATGTAAATTTGTACATATATGTATAAGAAGGATATTCTAGAGTAAACCTAACCTATTAGATCGCAGAAGTTGCAGTTCCGTTATACGAGAATTCATATCCAAATAAAATTATTGCACTTCTAATTCTTTACGAGGCCTAAAAATTAAGCAAATACTAATGGATTTATCATTTGATCAAATTTGACCCGGACTGAAAAAAAAAAAATAAATTTTCGTGAATTTTATAATAATACAAAGTTTATTATCGCCTYTAAAACAGATTTCCTTTGAGCCAATACAAGCTTGCCAACACCCAATACAATTTTCCATAAAATTGTCACAAGCCTCGGCCTCGACCTCGGCTGGCTCTACTGTTTTCTTTGTTTTGGCTCATTTTTGGAGCGTCATTCGCTAGATTTTTGAACAGTTTCGGCGTCATATTCRTAAACCCACGTCTCCTTACCAGTAATGCTGCGTTTATTGGATAAGGCAACTGCAGCATTTCTTTTGCGACTTTTACCTCGACAACGTTTTTGCAAAAGAGTCAGGGGTTTGGTACGAGTACAGCACTAACATGCTTCATACGTAGAAAATTAATTAAAATGTGTTGAGTTGATGCAAAAGAGACCTTGAGGTYCTCTGACATCTCGCTTGAAGCAAGTTTTCAAATTTTACACGGACAAAGAAAAAGTTTGTACCAATCTAGGATTTTATTTTGCTTSACTTTGAGATCTCCGTCAAATGAGTGTAGGGTCACCGCTTAACTATCAATCTGTCAGCAGAAATCTGTATTTTTTACAAGGAGATCAAAATTTCGAAGTTCTTTCTCCCCTCATTAAGCGGTAGAACTATTATACTCTCGAGCTCTGTTGAACAATTCAGAGTCATACCAGACAACAAAAAAGAAAAAAAAAAAAAAATCTAGAGCGAACACATTGAGGGTAGTGCTTCCAAGGCCTTTCAAATTGCGAACTGTTCCGGAGGAGCTATTGCCCCCAAGTGGGGCTTATGACCTATATTGCTCCACACAAGTGTCCTCTATTGCATATTAACATATGGAGCGGTCATACAGTTGACGAGATTAGCGAAAAAGTGCCGTCTTAAACCCCTGGAACAGCTGTAATCGGAGTGCTTGCTGGGGYCTGCGAGGACAATGAAAAGAACATAAACWAAAGTTCCGGGTAATACAAATCTTMCACAAATGAAGCTGAATGCAATGCTTACGGCCAGCCAGCTGATGACTTTAAGCCATTGAAGTCAGGTTCGGGGTCATCGCAGGCATGGTATTATATTCAGTCTTGTTAATGCGCTCTGACTAAATTTGGCATGCGATCGAGAAAGGGAGACACAACGTTTTTACTTCCCAATAGARRTGAACCAATGGTTCRGTTCCAACTGCGAAATCTACATATTCACCAACGAATCACAGAGTAACATAGGTACAGGACAGGGCTTTTTCTGTAGTAATACATACACAAAAGGTAGCTTCAAATAAATTGATTACTGTTTAGTCTTTCAGGCGGAAGTGTAGACATAACATAAAGWGCTAAGTGGCCTTCTGCTTTAGCCATCAAGTCTATAAACCTTTWARTGGATAGCCAAGTGGCTATTAAGGCTATTAASTTCCAGGTTAGGTTATTCAAGTAGACAATAACTAAACTCTTGGTTGGTAACAGGGTTAATCTGGGTACCCTGTCATATGGTAATGGCAAACGAGCTGATCCGCTTCTTTGGGGTATACAGACCATAACGCTTCTATTTTTAGACAAAAGGGAGCTTCCTTTATAAAATGGGAAAGGTGGATTCGATAGAATGTAGAGCATGCACGGAGTATGATGAGATGCTGGAACATAACCAATGCGAATACCCGGCTTTCAGTTGAATGAAAATGGACATATTCCACGGCCCGCAATATTTGAAATCGAATCMCTATAACATATATTATACCAAAGTTGAAATTTTTCGCATAATCATCACACAAATTACAATTGTAACTTAGGCGAACGCTCATGAGTCAATCAACTCTGTTGGCCGCTGGCTTGCCGTTATAACTTCATAAATAGCGCTTGATAAGCATGTATTTGGCTATCAAGCGATATATAGATGTTGGTGACTGTGTCAACATTTGCTATTTGACCTGCCATGATGTCTTTCCCACACACACACACACACACACACACACACACTCAAGGCTTGCCATAAAATCAGCTGAACACGCTTTGCCGCCGAAAGTGAGTCCTTTTTCGTGTAGCGGCAACAGCAGTTAAATCAACACGCTACGTTGACCAGCAGCGACGCCCAAAAATCACAAAAATAACAAATAAAGATTCATAAAAGTTACAAGCGCCGAACACACACATACAT